TGGCGCCATATAGTGTCTGGGTCCAAGGAGGCAGCGCCCCTGCGGGGTTCGATTCGACATAATAACACATCTACACTATGTATTTAATTTATATTGGGTCATTACCTAAAAAATCAAAATTTTAATATCTTTTAGGGGGGGACGCAATTTGCCTAAAAACTCTGATAATAAAGATAAAATCACCTTAAATAAGAGTATAAATGAATTTTTTTTCTTGAGAGGGGGGGGGGGGGGTTTTAATATATTTATTTTTTAATGAAATTAACTTATTTAAATTTATCTATTTTTTAGTATTAGAAATAGAGTTTCATTGGAGATGACTTACTATTTGATATGATTTTTGTTATACTAATATAAATGCACGTACACATGAATAAAATTTAAAAAAAAAAACAAAAATTAAAAATAATTTATGATTTGTTATATCAAAGATATTATGTTCTACATCAATATTAAATACAATATGTGTATAAATATAAATGATTTATACATATAGATAATGTATACTTCTATTATATTTGAATCAAGATAAATTAAATTAAGGTAGATAATAATATAATTAAAATAGACAAGAATAATTTATCAGATAAATCTTTCAGTTGATTATGAACTTTTATATTTATATATATATATATATTAGAAATAGACTTTCAGTATTACTATTTTTGTGGGCTCAGCATAAAACAGAAACATACATTATAAGTCTATTCTGATGTTTTTTTGGGTCTTCAAAAAAATTTAAAATATTTTAGACTCAATTTTAATACTATCAGCACAACATAATCTCTATGATCAAATTTAAGTAAATTATAACATTTTAGAGCAAAATTTCTAACAAATTTTACTCTAATTGATCCATCAACTTCAAGAAAAGCTGAAAATATAATAATGAAGATAGTTTATGTCTTTGAGGGGAGGTCCACATTAACGTCTAGAGAGGAATTGTGCCTAATAACTTTTTTGAAATTATAATTTTTACTCCATTAAAATTTTTGAAGATATAAAATATATTTCCGAATGTAATAAGCTTCAAGGTTCGAAATTAAGAGGGCAAATAATACAACTTCAAAAAATTCATATGACCGAGATGAATATTATGATAATAATTAAATAAGATACTTTAGGAATTAAATTCAAGATAATTTGAACTACGATTTTAGCAAATTTATAGTCGAATAGAAGAACTCCATGAGACAAACCTATCGACAATACAAATGATCATATCCGACTCCAAAATGAGCTCATATGAGGCACTTGAATTGTGTTTGAAAACTTTTAAACATAAATTGATGGATCAAATGAGTTCCAATTATATCATGTTTATAATAAAATCGAGCAGCTCGATGAGATGAATCTAACAAGCCTAAGATCACTTGATTCTTACATCGTTAAGGAATTCAAATGTTTGAAAATTAATTTAGGATTGAAGGGATTAAAATAGTTCGAACGATGGGAATATTTAATTAAGAGTCGTGCGAACTAAAGAACTCTTACATTTTTCTGCTATCACCGTGGACAACTACAATCAACAATCACCGCCACTATCACCAGACTCCTATCAAAATTTAACCATGTTATTATATTTTTAATTGTTCGCTTATGGACTTAACAATGGGAATTACCAAGTTTTTTCCTATATAATTTATTCTTCTCCAATTGCAATGAATGAAATATTTTTTTTTTATCTCATATTCCATAGCAAATTATTGCATCAGGTCAATTCTAGGATTTTTCACATAAAATAATTCCAATCTCTAACACTTTTTCTATGCATGCTGCATTTTTTGTCTATCACCACAGACGACTACGACCAACAATCACCATCACCGTTTCCATACTTCGATTAAGATCTAACCAAGTTATTATAATTTTAATTGTCCATGCATCTCTAAATATCTAAAGTCTGTAATCCCTACAATCAAAAGTAATCAATTGTTCTCAACATAATTTCTTCTTCTTCAATTGTGAGGAACGACGAATTTTTGTATGGCATATTTTATATCTCATATCCTATAATGAATTGTTACAAGTTATAACACACAAATTTTCAAGTGTCCATTGATAAGTAGAAAGTATAAGTAGCAACTCATATACTGCCATAGCCGCTCAGCTCCTCAACCTTACTGCCATCAGCTCAATTTTGTCTACCATCAGTTGTACAAGATTAATCTACACCATTGAATTCTAACTGAATTTGATCTCACCGTTCATAGCTTCCTTAGTTTTATA